GGACGAAGATCCTCCTGACAAGTGGTATAAAACTTAAGGGACCCCAATGGAAATAAGTCACTCTGACTTTTTTGGGTTATCCCAGGTTCTCTACACATATGCTGCTATGTATGATAATTCTATGTAGCTGTATTTGTGTATACCTGAATAAACTTACTTACTTACTTAATCATGAATTTGCTTGCTTAAGAGAATAAAAAGTCACAATACTCTGACTGGAAGAATACACGAATAACCCGCACGTAGAAGACTGAAACTTTTCACAACGTTTTGGTCAGACTTGGACCATTAACTGGCCAAAGTCGGATAGAAACTTCGTCATAAGTTTCAATGTCGTACGTGCGTGTTGTGTATAGTTTAACAAGCAAAGAAAAAAATATGCAAAATTCCCTTCGGTTTTTCGAAAAACTTAATCAATATCTATAGAATAATAAAAAAAAAACTGTACTAACCGCAAACCGGTTGTTAGAATAGAGCAACTAACAATGATGAAATATTCACAGAACCTTCTAGTGCACTAAGGTTAACACTCAAATTTTAATGCCTCATTTTAAATTATTTAAGTCAACTAACCATCTAGGATTACAAAGCTTCACAACAAACCTACAAATTATAAATGGAAACTGTACGAGGCTTCTATCCGTCCTGGACCATTTTGAAGCCACGAGTTAACTGGTCGACCGAGGGTAAGTATTGAATTATTCCAACCACGGAATACGATTCATTCATTGCAAGGTATGGGCCAAGACAATAATGTAGTTATGGATTAGATAGACACTTGAGAAAACACTAGGGCACATTTTTGGTAAAACTTTTCGTTATTGTGCTTAATTACTTCTAACATGAGGTGTTAGTGATCAAGATTCCAGGACCGAAAAATTTCCTAATACGTACTAGTGTTTGCCCAAGTGCCTTTTTAAACCACTTGTTGGTATCAATTACTAAGGTTTATACCACAATGTTGTTGTGCTGGCTTAATTCACAATTTTATATATGATTAAGGTATCTCTGTAGCAGTGGCCTGAGGTTTGCTCTTTCAAGGTTTCCTCAACTGTAAAGTTTGCGATAGTGCTTCCATTACTTGATAATGACACAGTGTGCGGGTTATGTTATCAGAAGACGTTTCGCCCGCCAGGGAGTTTATCAATTTATAAAGAGACAAGTAAAAGCATGAGGTTATATAGTAGCTTAGGAAAGGTCACCTGTGAGGCGTAGAGAGGTGAGGTGAGATCACCTGCGAGTGGGTCTGTGTTGAAGGCTGTGTTGATTCCACGTAGAATTAACTTTGCTTAAACCTGAAAGATGAGGAAAGACCCCGAATTTTATGACATGGGTTGGTAGTGGTGATTAAAGCTGATTCCAGTCTGTTACGGTGATGCTTCTCTGATAACTAATAGAATAATTCATCAAGAGGTTCGTTCCTGTGGAAGCATATCTGTATTCCTTGATTCTAGTGTTTAAGTCCCTGGACGTTTTCCCCACGTAAGATTTATCAGTCTCCGCAAGGTATGATGTTAACCCCAACATTCGATACTTGTTGCCGTAATCGCCTTTTTGACAAAATATCTGATGGTATTGGACGTTATGTTGACCTTGACTATGGTGTTGGCTTTACTCCTCCTTGTTTGGTTTGACATAAGTACTATGTATTTGTTATCGACGGCCTCCGTACAGGTGTCATATACAACTTTTTCTTCTTTCCTACAGCTGTCGGTGATGAAGTGTCTTGGGGTAGCGTAGCTCCTTAAAAACTCTCTGGAAATAGTCTTATTCCACTCTGAGGAATGTAGTGAAGGATGAGATTTTGTAGAACAAGCGGTGCAGCAGTTCGTTTTTACTGATGGGCTTTCAATAAGTCAAGTTCATCCTCGTTTATGCCGATCAAAACAACCAAAACAGAGGAGTCTGTCCGTCATGTTCCTCCTCCATAGTAAACTTGAGTGATGGTTCTACTGTTTATGTTAAGAAAGATAACAGTGTTCGGGCATCTAGGATCAATAATCAGAATGTCGTCAACATACACAAGTCACACCACGTCTCTCGGGATATAGATCATAAATCTTCTCTAGGTGCTCCATATACAAGTTTATCATAACTGCACTTACTGGCGAGAGCATGGCTATGCCGAGGGATGGTTTATGCGTGAGTGATTGTAGCTAACGCATCGTTCACTCGCGTCAAGGAAGTCCTTGCCAGAAATATGCATGCTGAATCCATCATGAAATTGACGTTTGAGTGGGTCCATCTCTCGTGTGAGAGGCACTCTGGTAAAGAGTGCCACGTCAAAAAATGCAAAGCATCTTGTTCCTGACTCGTAAATTCCTGATCTGGTGGAGCAGGTCTCCAGTGTTTAAGGTGTCTTGCTGATGGTGCCCAGGAGTCACTTGATGTGGGGCACTACCTGTACCCGAGGAGACTGATCACACTGGCATCACCACTTTTTTTTTTTTTTTTTTTTTTGGTAAACCATATAGATACGCAGTGCTGGAGTTGTACATATCAGTGCGATGATAACGCTTCCAGTGTTCAGTTTTTCAGGGCTGAACATGTGTCTTGTAGGAATTGCTTAGTAAATTGTTCATGGGTAGATGATCAACAGGTTGGTATGTCTCTGTCTTCCAATGATCTGTTCCTCATAAATCACGGAACGGGTGGGGCTTGAACCCATGGCAAGTGAATCCTAAAACTCAGTCATTTGTTTGAAATCATGTTATTATGGTTTCGTGAATCTGTTCATCATGTTCATGATGGCCACCCGTTCACCTTTATCTCCAGAGGTAGTATTTAATTAAGGCATGTATTACTGTTTTATACTTCTGTTTCCTCTTTACAATAGTTATATATGTTATGTACACGATACATGTTCCAGCATATCTGCGCTAGTTACTGCAGTCCTTATAAGATAGATTTTTTGTAAGGTATTTTAGGTCTATAATACACTGTAAACGAATGTGAGCTACCGTTGATTATTCCAATTAATGAGAGTGTCAGCCTTTGCATTCCTGTGTATAGTGTGTCCAATGGACCATGTGTATACAGTGTTCACAGTGGTCTTTGCGTACAGTAGTTTGGCAGTCCCACAGCACAGAAACTTGGTACAATCAATACGCTTGCTAAGTTATTTTTCTGTCAGTAAACCTTGTAAGAATGCTGAGTGCAGTATTCTTGCGATTTTTTAGTTATTCTTATTCTGTAACACGATCTTTCACAACTATCTTCTTGTTTCGTTGTTTTTGTTGTTATTATGTTTCGAGAAGGGGGAGAGAAGGGGATAAAAGGATAACAACCATTACAAATTCTTTCATTACTTACGAAACATTAATTTATAATCACATTTGAGACTTTCTTGTTAAGTTAAAATCATGTCCACTTCACCAGCAATAAAATACTCCAATCCTTAAAAAATGTATTAGAGTAAATTTTCGATGTATATACACTGAGATATATACACCTCAGAGTATGTATATAACCTTGCCAAATAGTTAAGTAGATTATAATAGGATGAGGTGAAGGCAGGGTTGAAATATATGTTGATGCGGTGCAGATGGTAGACCAACATACAAATGCCAAGAAATGTATATAAAAAGTGCTTAAGGAAATTTTTAATGTTTTGTTAATGTATAAAATGATACAAACGTATACAAAGTACATTAATGTGGTGTTCCATAGACAGAGTATATTGACGTGGTGTTCCATATATAAACAGAGTATACTGACGTGGTGTTCCAGTGACGTAGTATTCTATACACAAAGTTTACTGATATGGTGTTCCATTGAAAGAGTTGGTCAAACAAACCGAACTGCCAGACAAAAGATGTTCGAAAAAATGTTCTCTTATGTAACGATTGATGTTTTAGGTTAACTTACAGTGTAAGCAAATTTTAAATTTTGCAAACAAACTAGCCTAGCAACCTACCATAACAGTGCAAAACAATTAAGTATACACATTAATCCTATCCAACCTATCTTAATTCAGCCTCAATTTGTATTTTTGATCAGTGGCGAAATATATTATTTTCCTTATAGTCAGATTTTTCGCGGAAATATTCCAATAAGTTATACTCTGCTTTCTTTTAGTGAAAAGATGGTTTTTTATTAACAAGAATACCTTAATCCCTAAAATAGGGACCAAAGTAAATACAGTATATATACAGTGAGAAGAATACACCTCTCCGTGTATTCATCCTGTGTATTAATAATATAAACGTGACTATCAATGTTTATCTTGTGTGCTTAATGCCTAGACAAGGAGAAGTATAAATGTCTATTATTTCAAAACTTAATGGATTTTTTTTTCATGTGGTCTAGATGCTATTTACAGTATTTTCAAAAACTCTGTTACTTCAGTGGATTAAATTTTGTTTCTTCAAGTATTTTATATTCAACTTATAGTCCTCCGACATGTGGGTGACAACTAGGTTTGTAATTGTAGGTTAAATAATGACTCAGTAGGCCTATGTTCCTTAATGACTCAGTAGACCTATGTTTCTTAATCAATGGACGATACTGTAGCATTTGTGGTTATATTGCCATATATGGGATGGATATCATGGAGTGAGTAAGAGGGAGCCCAAGTAGGTGAGAGTGGGTGGCTAATAGTGGGCGGGGAAGCTGAAGGCCACATGTAAGCCGTGTTGGAATAGTAAAGGAGGACATTTTGTTTTATTGGCAAAGATGCTAAACTGTGTGGTGACAACAGTGTGTGAATCTGTTGTGGCCACACACTGACACTGTTGGAGTCAGCAGTCATAAGATGCAAGTGACTTTGGTCTGTACTAAACCTCTTCCCAGCAGTTTATAGCATCCTGGCAGGGCATCTATATAAATAAGATTTGTTAGTGTCATGGCACCGGTGTGTACAACTCTGCCTGACACTCAAAATAGTTTCCACTGAGTATATTGTCTCGTTGGAGGGAACTAATACACACTAGAGATGAAGGTGTTTCTCTCTCCATTACCGATGTACCACTATAGCATAAGAGGAGAGTGAGCGGACGTACCTGTATGTAGCCGCCTATGGGTGGGCGTCCATAGGAAACGGGCCCAGGTGCATTGAAGGTGGGTCCAGGCATCTGCGTTATTTTTCGAGAGATGTAGGAATCGTCGTAACTTGGTCCTCGCATCATGTTGCTGGTGCAGGCTACACTGGACTGACAACACACCTCGCGGCCCCGCTCCTAGCGCCCACTGCACACCCTTCCTTCCCCAGCCCACCACACTACAACACCTATTTTGGGAGAGCTGCCCGCACCACGTCACTTCCTCTACCACCTGAAATAGCCTCTGCCAGTGCACGAATGATCCCACTGCGGCCAGCCACGCCCGCACTACCCAATCATAACTTCGAGTAGGTGGTCAAAGAGCGATGATAGGACGGAGAGGGGCGAGGCTTGATGGCCAGGATGTCCTCTACACTGTATGACATCCTCCACTTGCTCACAGTCTTCTTCCAGTAAAATTCATACCCAGACGTTGATCGCTAAACTTTAGCCACAGATCTCACACATCTGTAGTAGTGTCCACGTTATCTGCCTATCTCCAAGGCCTATTGCTCTCCGTAAATAAAGCCCCAAATAAAAAAAAATAAGCATTAGCTAAAGTAAAATGTTAAATTAAGGCAGTCTCTTTGGAAGTGAAATAACCAATGTTTCTCCTTTCACTCAGTTACTACAAATTCCTCCGTAAAATGAAAGTGGAAGGGTTGACTTATGTTTGTGACACAAACTCCGGTAAATAAACTATAATTAACATGATCACTTATGGGATCCGCAGCCTCCACGCTAGCTGATGACCGGATTCTGATGAATGGAGAATAAACTGCTTATACAGAGGTCATGCATGGAAATATAAACTGATTTAGAGATCTTGCATGGAAATTATAACCCTACTGAGATAAATTAGTTAGTCTCCTAAACGATCACTACACTGGGCCTGCTGACGCAGGTATGGCAGATATACTAACTACAGTCAACCAGTTTCATTCATTTAAAGATTTACAAGTTATCTGGTTGAATAATACTGTTTACTTTAATCCCTATTTTTAGGGATGAAAGTATTCCTGGTGGAGTAAAGTTATCGCGAAACCTTAATGACCCTAGTGTTGTTGATAGACTTTAAACTCCATTTACTCTATTGTCCCCTTTATATTTTTCGGCAACTTGTACAATTCACTTGTTCTATATTCGTAGGAACAATTCCTGGTACAGAAGATTAACCTCTTCATACCACTTTTTGTATGTGTGTACTCACCTAATTGTGGTTGCAAGGGTCGACTCAGCTCCTGGCCCCGCCTCTTCACTGGTCGTTACTAGGTCCACTCTCCTCTCCCTGAGCCTTATCGTACCTCTTCCTGCCTCCACTACACCACTCTCCAGATTATTCTACTTCTTGACGACTCTATGGCTGAAGAAATACTTCCTGACATCCCTGAGACTCATCTGAGTCTTCAACTTCCAAGTGTGTGTGGTGTGTGTACTTGCCTATCTGTGGTTGCAGGGGGTCAGTTCACAGTTCCTATGTATGTCTGTGCATGTGTGTACTCACCTAGTTGTGGTTGCAGGGTTCGATTCACAGTTCCTGGCCCCGCCTCTTCACTGGTAGCTACTAGGTCACTCTTCCTGCTCCATGAGCTTTATGATACCTCTGTGTGTGCGTGTGTGTGCGCGCGCGCGCGCGTGCCTGCGTGTATATTGAGAGTTAATTACTAATAATATTAATAATGATCTGTAGTGGAGGGAAGGCAGCGTAGGGGTCCGCCTAGGAAAAGTTGAAGGGAGGGGGTAAAGGGGCTTGGACCTCCAGCGAGCATGCTTGAGCGTGTTAGATAGGAGTGAATGGAGACAAATGGTTTTTAGGACTTGACATGCTGTTGGAGTGTGAGCAGGGTAATATTTATGAAGGGATTCAGGGAAACCGGCAGGCCGAATTTGAGTCCTGGAGATGGGAAGTACAGTGCCGGCACTCTGAAAGAGGAGTGTTCTTATTATCATTATTATAGAAAAATGAAGCGCTAAACCTACAAGGGTCATACAGCTCAGCAAGGAGGTGTGCTAATGTTGCAGTTTTTTTAACTATAGTGCAATCGCGCTTCTGGCAAGACAATGATGGAGTGAATGGTGAAAGTTTTTCTTTTTCGGGCCACCCTGCCTTGGTGGGAAACGGCCGATGTGTCATTAATAAACGAAAAATAAATTAATAATGATGGCTTTACTTCACAAGAAGATACATTAGACACTGACCTATTATAGTATAGCAATAAATGCATATTATGACTTATAGGTATCATGCACCCATATCTCTCATGTAGGTAGTAGTCAAAGGGTTACAGTGACAAACTACAGAAGTAATGAACTTTTTATGGAATTCACAGCAGTTCTCAAGCCAGCACTGACACATCTCCCAGCCACAGTCACCCAAGAGACCTGCATGGAGACCACCCTACAGCTTATCAAGGACCACCTTCGCCTTAACATACGTAGTGATGACCTAAAGGATTGCAAACTGATGGGCTACCAAGCAGGTAAAAAAACAGTGCTGTTAAAATTCCAAACTAGCCTACAAAGAAACAACCTACTAAAAACATCTATTTCTATGAAAACTGATGTTTATGTCAATGAGTGCCTTACCAAAACAAGACAAAACCTTCTTTATCGGCTAAGAAAATTACGCTATGCCCAAAAAATCCACCAGTGCTTTGTGAGGGATGGAAAAATCGCAGTTAGGAAACAGCCCACTGGGAAGAGATACTTCATCTCTACAGAACATGACCTTAAAACATTCCTAAGTGAGGCTGGACTAACAGAATCAGAGTAAAGTGCAGATAATACCCACAGTCCACCGTTAGTGTTATATTGTCATAAATTTGTGCCCCCTAAAATTCTAATGCCCCAACTACTTTTGATTGTCATTGTTATATTCAACGACCATTCTACCTCATAGTCTTAATTTGTTAAATATCTACAGAATCTATCTCCTTTTTTTTACAACTTACCGCATCACTGTTCCATCTTATTTTATTATAAACTAGCCATAACTTGTCCTCAATAATTCTACCTCACTTTAAGAAATACTCAATTGCCCAATTTTATTCTAAAATCCCTACTATTGCCCAATTTTGTTTTAAACTATATTGATCAAACTTATTGTAAACTTCTTTTATTGACCATTTTATTCTATACTTTTAAACTAGTATTTTCAACTACAACTTTTATATTATCCTGTCTACCATCTTACTAGCATATTATAACCAAGTCATTGCCATTTTTATTTTTATAATTTTTTTATTTTTTTTATTATTCTTTTGCTACCTTAACTTGTGTATTTTATCTTGTCAATTTAAATCTAGTTATACTCTAATTCTTGTAAACAACTTATATAAGACCTTAGTGCAATTACAATTGAGAGTCTTGTGCCTTTTTTATATTATTAGATTAAAACACAGCTGTACTATAGTCAATACCAAATTCATTATATTAGACCATAGTGCAATTACTAGTGAGAGACTGGTGCTATTTTTAATTTGTATTTTTATATTATTAGATTAAATCTAGTTGTACTATAGCTCATTCTAGCTCAAAACATAGACTCCACAAAAGTCATTATATTAGACCTTAGTGCAATTACAAGTGAGAGTCTTGTTCTATTTTAAATTTGTATTTTTATATTACTAGTTTTCTTACCTAGTTGTACTTTAGTTATTCCACACAACCAATAGACAACATCAACTTCAATATGTGTTTAGGGTGACTATACTCTATCTGACCATAATACTCTTGCTTATATAATTATCCAATCTTCCCTCCACTACAGATATCAGTACTAGAACTAACACACAACTCAGGATATAATACCATAATTTAACCTAGAAGATGTCGATGATAACGTTGACCTGATCTAACTCCATAATCTGACCACCCAATCAATACCTTTTCGGAAAGTAATACTGCATTTATTACACAGCCATCACAAGCCCAGCACTATCCTAAATCAATGCTAAAGTCTATCAGTACTTAACTACAAAATCAGGTCCTTTAAGCAAACACTTATGATGGGACCTCCTGGCACTCTGAGTCACTAAAGGACTGCACCCTTCTCCTGCATTATTCTTACTGAGACTTGCTTAAGCAGGACACAATGGATATTACCCTCTACCAGGATACACAGCAATTCACAACTTCAGACCAAACCAGTTGGGGGTGGTATTGACATCTATTACTCTAACCCAATTTATCTTGTATTAGCACCAACTTGCTTTAAGTGATGATGATGGAGAATATTTTTGCTATTTTAATGTAAAAATCCTTAAGACACCTATAACAATCGGTGCCATTTACCGGTTACCTCCACATCAAACATCCCCAAATTTCAGTGAGAAATTAAAGTACTAATGACAAACAGACAAATGTATAAGCACCACCTTTCTTAGGCTGGGAGACTTCAACATCAACTAGGCCTACTAGATGATCACCTGTAATGATTTCATAAACATATGAACAACACACTTCTCATACCAACTATAACTAAACCAACAGGTCGTGAGACAAGGTGCAACCTTAATAGACCACATATGGACCAATATACTAGCCCCCCTTAAATCAGGGATAATCACGATGCTTACAGACCCACTACCCTTACCTTCCTCCTGACAAAACATTAGTAAACCACCACTTGAATGTCAACAAAGTTCATTTAGGATCCATGACGACGGCCTCAATTAGAAGTTCACAGCTGACTAGAGATGTTGACTGGCCTACAGAATTCTCCAGGCCTATGGTTATTGATGACTGGAAGAACATTTTTCTCTAACAAAATTACTTAGACTATTCAACAAACATTGTCCTATAAACAACCGAACACAGAATCACAAACAAACGGCTTGGTTGCCCATGGCTAACCAGTACCATTCTGAAATCACTGACAAGAAACACCATATGAATAAGCATATAGAAAGGGATCATACACCAACAGCTATTCTTAAAACGCTATTCATCAGTTCTTCACAAGTAATAAAGAAAGCCAAACAACTATACTACTCCAGTTAGATTCACAGACACTAGAGGAGATATAAAATAGACTGGAAAAACACTCTCTCAGATTCTAGGGACCACAAACTGAAAAAAAAAAGAAAAAAAAAATAATTTTTGTCCTAACTAAAACTAATGAACCACCACTACATCCACTGACACAGCTAACAAGATAAAACGACTTCTTCTCAAACAT